TTCTTTTTTTTTGCCTTTTTTTTATCATGCGATATCATGCGCATGTTATTTTAAAATGCGCATTTTTCCCATCACTAGTGTTGATACATTAAATTATAATTTTAGTTACAACCGCCTTGCTTGCTCAGGTTCTTCCGGAGTTGACCAGGACCATGAAAAAAAGATAACTCTTCGTCCTGGAATTTACCTCCTTAGGGTAAATGTTGACTTGGGTCTAGTAATTCATTGGCCCGAACTTGGCTGTTATGAAGAAAATGCACCTTCCCATAAAAAGAAAAATATGATAAACTTGCACAGGTCAGTAAGAACCCTCTAATAGTAGACAAAGTAGTTGATTTGATAGCATGATTAAGTAATCAGTAATCATTATCTATTCTGTAGATACCTTACTAAACTCACAGATCACCAAATTTGCTTAATAAGTGAACCCGATTTAGAAAGCTTTGATTGGAATGTTAAAGAGGAAGATGATGATTCGGATGAAGAGACTGAAGGAGCTGGTGTTGACTTTGAAGTCTTAAAAAGTCAGGAGGAAAAGGAAGATTTTATACATTATCCTGGGTTTAAGGTTGTTATTTATATTCATGTTTATAATGTTTATACTTAAAAAATCTTACCACACTTGTTTGTAAAGATTCATCTACCTTCTGAAATCAAGCATGAAATCGATGTTGATAATGCTGACTGCCCGTTACCATTTAGTAATTGTTTTTATAACACAATTAATTTTTTTTAGTAAATTTCTAAATACTAACCTATATGTATTTTAATGTTATAAATTTTGCAGTTATTGAGTCAACTTTTAATCAAGCATTTGCTACAGTGAAGAAAGTGCGGGCAAAGTCAAAATCAATAAGAACATCAAAGCATATTTCTAATAAATCTGAATTTCATGGAATTATCAAAGGACATACGCTTCTCATAGATCGTCAAATGCCTATGGATAATTTAAAAATGCTAATTGAACTTGAATTTGCTGAGTTAGAAGGAGAACTCTTAAGTTCATTGAATAATGCATTGGCAGCCGAAAGATCAGCTTTAGAAGAAAGAAAAAACAATGAAAGAAATATTATTAGTGAAGATGGAAAAATTATCGAAAATATGTTTTGGAATAGTTTAAAAGCAAAATACAGGTAAGCAAATGACTATTTGAAAAGTTGTATGTTGTATACTAAATAAGATAATACATTTTACCAAAATATCTTAGTATATTTGAAGATTTCATCACTATGAACAAGACCAATAGCTCCTATATGCCGATTGATGTAGTATCAGAAATACTGAATGACACAGGTAGTAATATTAATGTATTATACTTAAAAAAAAACATTATCTAAATTATGTTACTTATGACATTAAGATTTAAAAAGAATTCATGAAAAATACCCTAAGATTAAAAATAAGATCGATAAAGCTTTGAAAATCACTTCGGAAAATTGGGTAGAACTAAGGAAATTATTCAAATTTGTGACACAGATTATAGATACACAGCTTGTTGTTGGAGAAGGGAGTGAAACAGCTCAATATGATAATAATAGAGACGAAGCAATTAAAGAATTATATAACTTACTAGTTGATCAAGACATTAACTTTAACAAACAAGTAAAGAAATATTTCCAGGAACAGAAAAGAAAAAATCAAGACAATAAAATATTATCATTATCATGGTTTAAAAATTTGTTTTCCTCTGACTCCGATGTTAATAACATAGTTTCAAATGTAGATGCCGAAATTAACAAAAAAATTAAAGAGAAAACTGACAGCCAATTTATTCAGGATCTCCATAGTTATAAATTTGAAAATGCTGATGAGATCATGAAAAATCGGATTACATCTCGTTTTTTGGACGAATATCAAGGATGGAGAAACGATGTATTCCACTCAGTAATGAAAAAAAGCATACCACAATATTCCGACCGGCGTAAAGATATTAATTCACGGCTTGAAGATGAAAGTAAAGCAAATCAAAAAAAAATTAATGATAGCGAATTTCTCAAGATTTGTGAAATAATAGAAAAAAAACAGTCTGAGGGGTAATTCTTTATTATATATTTTATCAATTCAATAAGTTTACTTAAAAATCAAAAAAAAATTATATTTTAAAGGCCCACAATTAAAATCGAAAAAGTCGAAAAAGTTCAAAATGGTAATTATTTCATTTACTGTATTTTCGCGTAATAACATGCAGGGGTGTAATTTTAACTTAAATTAAGCTTAATACGGCCAAAATTCGAAATAACGACCATGAGCATTATTTCACGAAAATACGAAATAGATTAATGACTTTTTATAATAGTTTCTCACAGATACTTCATTGCTTATCATGTGGAAGAAATTCAGCCCGAGCAATTACAATATACGATTTATAATACAAGTCTTGATCAAAATGATATTTTGAGTTTGAGACAAGATGAATTACATGTTCCTAATCCAACAATAGAGTTGTATCATCAAAATAACTGCTTTTCTTTTCTAATCAATCCGCAAACCTATAAACTAAGGTAGCAATATATTGGACAATTATTGAATATCAATTTATAATAGGCTGACATTATAAAATTTTTTTTAAAAAAGAAAAATGGCATTATTTGAAAAAAATAAATATTTTATTGCTTTATGGAATGTCAATCAAAGTCGGCTCGAAATCTATTATGAAACATTAAGAAGAACGTTAAGTAATCCAATCCAATTAGAAGAAAAATCACACCTAAAGCCTAAAATTTTTCATGCGGAAGAGCAATGTCTTATCGCTGTAAATGAGCCGAATGGCATGTTTGGTATATATCAAACTGGAAGAGGAGTGGTAAGTTCATGTTGTATTTATAACACATGTTTGTCTACTATAAATTTTAAAATATTTTATATTTTGATAGTTAGATGTTTACATGATTGATGAAAGTCAAACATTTTATATGCGGGCGCGAGGTGTTCAAATTTGTGCATGGTATTGTAATAGGATACCTGATATCAAATTTTTATTTTTTATAAAAGACAAAGAAGAAATTTGTTTTGTTCAAACCAATGGTCAAGCGAGAATATTTAATTTGATTACAAATCAGTTTTTGCCAGGAACAGCTCGTTTTCCAATAAATGCTAGAGATATTGTTTGCACTCCTGATGGCTCTTGTATTGTATCATTTGTCGAAGAAAACGAATCAAATGCATCAGAGAATCCATTAGGTGAAAATGCATCAGAAGAGAATCCATTAGGTGAAAATGCATCACATGAGTCTAATGAACAGGATAGTGAATCTGACATATCAGCCAGCGATACAGCTTCAAATAGTGATACAGAAGATTCTACCGAACAGCCTACTGATACAAATAAATCCGTGATAAAACGTGCATATATTTATTTCTGTTCAGGTTTTGGAAGACCTGCTAGTAAAGGTTAGTACAATATGCAATTATTAACCATTTTCAAATTTTGAAGTTGAATAGTTATCATAAACTTTTTCCTTTATGTAGTAATTCAATTGCCTTCAATTATATCAACTTTGGAATTTATTCAATTTTCATGCATGGAAAATCAAATTCATCTTACAACATTTGATATACATACAGGAACATTTCATTCACTTATTATTAGAATTACTCATGAGAAAACACAATACAGTTTCCAACAAAAGTTTAATAAACGATCACTTGGAAAGGTTAGGACAGTAAAAAATTCGTCGCAAAATATGGAACTGGAAGGCAAAGACACTTCATTTATACGTGATATCAAAAAAGGAGAAAATCTAGTTATCATGGGAGAAAAGCACATTGTTTTGAAAATATATTCTGATACGAAATTAAAAGTTTTAGGATCTTTTCAGTGTATGATTGGTATTGATTCTTGGATGGAATTTCGTATTGAACCTAAGACTAAGCTTAACGGATTTGTAGATGCATATAAATTAATGTTTGAAAAGTATCCTATTGATAACATTATTGATTCAGATCAAAATCATACATTAAATTTACGAATTGCATTAGATTTGAGGGATGATAAAAAGATTACAAATTATGAAAATAAATTCCAGGAATATGTATCAGATATGTTCGAAGACTTAAAAAGATCAACAAACAAACCCGCAACTTCTATAAAGCGGTAGTTAGATTTAAATAGTTTTGAATTTTTTTTCTCCAAATATCTTATTTATTATTACATGATTTTATAGATTTGGATTATCGTGTTTATCGTTTTCAGACTTTGATTTAAAGGACTTGATTGATGAATTAAATGATCTTAAAAATAATCAGCTTGGTGAATGGATAATTCAACTTTGTATTTTGATCCCGATACAAATTGCTGTTGCACGAAACAATATATTTCAACCAGTTTCCGATGGTTTATCATCGTTTGATGCTGAAATTGCTGATTCGGGTGCATTAAGTGTTGACGGAATTGCACAAAGCATTAGGTTTTTTTTTTTTCAGCATTAATAATATTTGTAGTAATGACATATAAATTTCTGATATTTTGAAGATTTTTTTAGTTTTGGATGGTATGAAGGAATCTTCAAATACTTTGGTGATAAACCAGTAAAAGTCGTTTCGAGTATGGGTGAACAGTAAGCATCTTTTCAATTTAATTTTATTATGTACTTACGGGTCATACGCTTATCAAAAAATTATTTTATAATAAAAAGGTCTTGTGGAAAATCGTAAGTATAAATTGCATTTAAGCAATAAGAAGCCAAATAACAAATGAATCGATATTTTAGATATATGCTAAATCACTTAATTGGGACAACATTCGATGGCTCCGCAATGGTAAGCTTTTTTAATAAAGTCTAATACTGTCAAAGAAATCCTAAAAGAAGATATTTTTCATTATTTTAGCGATGTACCGAAGGAGTGTGGATGTCCTTAGGTATATTTTAATTTAGAATTTCGAAGGTTATCAGATAATATAACCTGATTTTGTTTCCAATACAGCAATTACGAAAAAATGTATCTATGTTGCATTGGATTTCGAGGGACTTAATTCCCTTCAACGATCACCACAAGAAGGTAATTTTACACAGCTTTCAGTTCAAGGATGAATGACTACATTCTTAGATAATTATTAATCCCACGCGATTTGTAGATATGTTTTTAACACTATTCAATACAGTGATATCAAATCTTATTCTTTTTAAGGTAAAAAAAGCTTAATTACTAATTTTATTAACAATATTTATTTAACAAATTCTTTTGTTATAATTGATATAGAATCAATTTGCTGTCAACAGAGATATGTCAACAATGTTCCAGAGATTTCAGGATGGTGCTACACTATTAAATGACGAAAAAATATTTCAAGTAATAATGATAATAAATAAGAATTTAACGGATGAAGCAATTTGCTCACTGTCTTAATTCTTTAGGCGAAACTGTGCATCATAATTAAAGATGTACCCAAACAAGATCGTGATGGGATTGTATCAGAATTTTCTTTGAGATTCAGGACAATGGTCATGCAGGTCAGCAATTTATCTCTGATGCATAGATGTTATTTCACGAATATACAGTAATCTTTTTATTATATTGGCCATTTATATTAAATCTTTTCATAGGAAGGTGAAAATAACTTTATAACAAAAATGTATCCGGGTGGTTTAAATATAAACCCTTGGCCAATGTTTAATAACCCTGAGTGGTTTAAGAATTTAAGAGACATCAAAAAGATGTTAGATAAACAGGATGCAAAGTATGAAAATGCTCGAACATTTTTGCAAAACACAAAAGTATTTATGGCTAAATTGAAAGTAAATATGCAAATAATTATCATTTGGTTATTTTTAGAAAACAAATTCAAAAGCTTAAAATTTTATAGATTTGTGATTGGGGTTCTTTAGATGAGAATCTTGTACAAATCCGTGTGTCTACGTTGAAAAGATTGCTTAATATTGCAATATCTCTTGGTATTGAGGAAAAAAATAACACCTTAGAACACTTGATGGTATTTATTTGTTATTTGTAATATTTGAAACTGTTATAAGTATGATGATAATTATTATATTTCAGAATCGTGATACTGGTAAAATAATTCCCGATCAAGTTATAAATCTGACTGAAATTTATGACGACGTTGTCGATAGTTGTGACTTGATTTTAGATTCAGATCTTTGTCTTTTAGATGAAAACACAGATTTTGTACCATTATCTACTGATTTGAGAATTTACTTTGAAGATAAAGTTCAAAATCGTAAAGTTTGTCCTAAAGATGCCATATGGTTTGAAAAATTATCAAAATTCTTTAAATTTATCGTTCAACGGCGAATTAATCGAGTACAAGAATGGTTTCAACAAAATACTAGCAAATTTTCACCAGATAATAGTGATGTTAAAGATGGAATATATGCATTAGATCAACTAGTCAACAAACTTTCACTGCTTTGGACATTATGCGGCCTTTCCTGTCAGGAGTGTAATTTAAAATGTCTGAAGAATCGTTATCATGAAGATGCACATAACTGTTTAACTGATCATCATTGCTATGTTACTTGTGAATTTCTTGAGGCTCATACGAATAACTTACCTCCAAGATGTAGTCACAAAGCAGGGCATGATGGAAAACATGCATGCAATACGGTAATAATAAACTTACCCATTCGGATGGTTAAACCTGTGTCATTTCTATTTTTAATAAATTTTCTGAATTTGTAAATAGACAAGCCATTTATGTGGCAAACCATGTAAATTCAGTGACAAGCGTAATTGTCAACAGAAATGTGCAAAAGAAATCGATCATGATGATGATGAACATATATGTCAATCAAAGCGTCATAATTGTGGTGCACCATGTTCTCTGCAAGCCAATACTAGAAAGGGTTTTTATAAATGTCTTAACAAATGTATTATTCCATGTGAAGATGAACATGAACGACATTGCTGTGAAAACGATTCTGCATGTCCAATCCAATGTCCAATTCCTGATTGCCAACGACGATGCCAAAGTAAAGATCATTTTCATGCATTGCAATCACAACAGATTCATTTTTGTGGGTATGTACTTGGGGTAATTTTATAGATGCGTAAGATTCTTTCTAATTATGTTTCATATTATGTTGCAAAAAGCAACGAGCATCAATGTCAAGAAGATTGTCAAGAGTTAGGTATTTGCAAGCTTTTGCTTGAACCGAAAAAACAAGAAGAAGTTTACCAAGGCTTAGTACAAGGGACTTCTATTACATTTACCAAGGTATGGCTTAAATAGTTTTGGAATTATTTTTATTTTTAAAATTATGTTCATTATGGTCATTATGACATTATTATTACACAGTACATTCAATTGAGTGAAAAGATTAAATGCTGCAAGAAAATTCCACCTAATGCTTTTCATCATGATGGAAACCATTCTCACGATGAAGGCGGCTTTCATTATTGTGACGCCCAATGTAAGAATATATTTTGAATTTACGTACATTATTTAATTTAATTGAACTACTTATCTAATTTTCTTCATGAAATGGACTTAATTATTTATCGAATTTTCGTCATGAAATGCTGTACAGGTCAACTTTGTGAATACTATGTAGGCTATATTTCAGATATTTTTTTGATGTGCATCCTTTTACTTCATAAGCTCATTGATAATTTGATCATAATCATTATTCTAGTGCATTTTACCATATGGGCATCCACAAGCGTTACATGAAACCAAACATGGAAATATGATTAAGACGGAATTTACTTCAGAAGATAAAGAATTTGAATATAGAGGGTACTAATATTAACAATTTCCTTTATATAGAGTAAACTATACCAGATTAATAATAATTTGATATTATTTCTATGAAGCCATAAACTAAGGGCAGGTGATCAAGGAACATTTGTACTTTGTAACTTGGTAAATTATCTTTTACAATGTACAAATTATGTTATTTATTCTAGCTAATGGTTTTTATATTATATATTATAGTACTGCAAGGAATTTGGACGCCATCGTCATATGGATTATTGTCAAGATACTTCAACATGTAAACCTAGTGCAAATAAACGACATTGTGATGGTAAAAATTATATTATTACTATAATCATTATTATTTATTTATTTGGTTATTTGATCTATTCGGTCTAAATTTTAGTCAGTGTTGAACCCCATCCGGAAAGGCCGAAAGATTATATTTCTCATAAGCTTTTTTGGGAGCGTACAGGATTTAAGGGTATTTATAATTCAAAGGCATGATGCAAAATTTGAGTGCAGTCAAGGAAAAGCACTACGGAGCTTCAATTATAGTTTGTATCGGACGCAATCCTTAATAAATTAGATAGATTGTGTCCGGTACCAAATATAATTAAAGCTCTGTAATGCCTTTTCCTTTGACAGCACTCATATGATAGTTTCTTGAGCTAAAGAATTTTTATAGACCCTTATTCAGTTCAAGAACAAGAAATGTTTGAAAAATGTGACCATGAATGTGCTGATGAAATACATAAGCCAGTAAAAGGATCCAATGTTATACCTAACAGATCATTTTGTGAATTAGCATTGTTTCATACACCTCTTAAGTTGACCGATGCACCACCAAATGGTATTGGATATATTTCTCTTGGTGGACATCATTTTACATGTGATAACCCTGCAAAACGAGAAGGTTTATTTCATATCATTTTTGCAATTGATCGGTCTGGATCTATGAGTAGTAGTGATAAAAAACCACAAGAAAATACTCCAGTTTATAATCTTATAAAAGATAAACATTACAACAGGACAGGTGCTGTATATAGTGCTGTAAGTATTTATTGTATTCTTGAGTTTTATATTTTTTTAAAAAATTAAATATTAATTCTAAAATATGTTGAAGGTTTATTCATTTATGGAAGCAAGGCTGGCTGCACAAGTAAGGTCAACTAATAAGGACACCGTATCATTGATTCTTTTTAATAGCGAAGTCATTGTGCCATTTGAAAATCAAGTGTTAACCGACTCTAAGATGATGTTGAATCAGATGCTGCCACATCTGGCAGGTGGTGGGACTAACTTTAATCTTGCGATTCAAAAAGCTGGAAGCTTAATTAATAACTACTTTGATCCGGCAAGGTACGTGGATTTACGCATTATTATCAATTATTGTATTCACTTAAATCATTACTTAAAAAAATTATTAATTTCAGAGCAAATGTAATTATATTTCTTTCTGACGGTGGATGTAGTACACCAACAGGCCAACTTGAACAAATTTGCAAATATAATAGTGACAAAGGGTAATTAAATGTTGTAAATAGTGATTTTAAATGCAGTTATATTTCAATGTTCTTAAAATGCTAATTATCTAATAATTTTAAACAGAAACCCATTATATCTTATAACTGTTTTATTTGCTGGTGGAAGTGACAGTTCCTCTTTAAGAGAAATGGCCGAAATTGCTGGTCGACATCATCCAGCGAACAAGATTGGAAATGATTTACGCTGTCATTTTACTAGCGTTATGAGTGAGATTAATCTAGTCAATACATTTACTAGTGTTGCAGAAAGTTTGAGAGTGCATAATCCTTCATTGATGAAAAAACTTTAGTTCATTATACACATTTTATTTATTTTATTGAGTATTACTAGTGCTCTAAAAAAAATTTACTTGCAAATTTTACTATGCTATTTACCTTCTAAGCTAGAATTAATCCAACCCTAGCTCATATATTAACCATTTTGTTATTTTTTATTTAGTATTTATTTATTTATTTTTGATCAATTGTTTTTAGCATTGACCAATTTATTGAATATATACTATATAAATTGCATTATTAGAAATTCCCAGATAACTGCTATCCTGAGATTAATAAATATAATATATAAGATAGCTGCATGACGTAGTCGAGCTAAAAACCAGGAACAAAAGCAAATATAGTAGTTAATAAATAGTTCAAATAAGGTACAAATGAAAACTGATTTAGCATCTCATCAATATATTGTGAAGCATTTGATATTGTTAGGGTCTGAATGGGGTCTCCGGACCAAAATTGTGGCTCTTCTTAATTTTCTATTTTATCTATATATTATCCAAGTTTATCTATGTGGGGCTTGTGGGAAGGGTGTGATGTGGCTTAATAACGAATTAGGGATTTATAACGTATAGGTTCAGGCTATGTGATTATTTGGCTGAAGGAATTTAAAATATACGAATCATATCATATAGAACGTATAGAGTGTTTTCTTGTTTTTTCTTGTGAAGTTTAGTTTTAATAGTTTTGATTTCAGTTGTAAAAAGGGTTGAGGAAGTAGTAGGGTCGAAGTGGTTATTCATTGATGTTAAATGTAAAGGAGGTAGTAGGGTGTTTTATGAATATTTAGTAATATATGAGTTATAATTTTGTATAAAGTTAGGTTTGTATAGACCTGTTTTGAGTAGAATTGCCTGTTTAAGTTGTTTGTATAAGGGTGAAAGGTTGGGTAGTTGTTGTTTATTTTAATATGGATTTAGTTTAATTCTTTTGAATGGAATATATTTTTGGATTGCTTTGGTTAGAGCTTTGTTAATTTGATTCCATGTATTATTGAGTTCAGAGCTATAAGTAATGTTGTTGATAGATGTGAGAAATTGTTTAAGGTTTTGTTCAGTATGGTTTTGGTACTTTTCAATTTGTTCTTTTTAGATAAGTTTCCATTGATAAATGGTTCTTGTTTAATGATATTGTGTATTAATTTTAGGTATGTCAAGTATAAGTTCTAGTGATATTATTGAGTGATCAGTTAGAGTAAATGGGTTAAGTAAGATATTAGCATAGTCTAAAAGTGTAATATGAACATTAATCCATATTTGGTTAATTCTACTATAACTGTTATTGTGTGTATAGGAGAATGTAGGAGTTAATGGAAAAAAGAGTCTATAGGTATTATAAATTGAAGAGATTTAAGGAGTTTTAAGAGAGAATGTTCAGGTATGTTTGAGCTTTTTTGTGGTAACCTATCTAGTTTGGGGTTAGGAATTCTATTTAGATCACATATTAGAATTATTTTGTAGTTAGTTTTGTTAAGAATAGGATTAAGATATAAGAGGATTTCTTTTTGAAGTTGTCTTTTTTCTTGAGTTGAAAAATATAGTTGAATTAGTTTAATATAAAGATTTTTGAGAAAAATATCAATTTCTAAGAAAAAGTTTTTATAAATTTGAATTTTTCTTATATGTTTTACAAGTGATTTGTGAATTAATAAACCTACACCACTCTGATGAGCATTGCTAGATGTCCAGAAGCATTTATAGTTTGAAAGTTTTTGTGAAAGAGTTAAAAATTTTGTCTTTTTGATAGATAAATATGTTTCAAAAATTTCAAAAATATCTATTTGATTTTCTGAAATGTAATTAATTAGGTTTAATTGTTTAAAACTATCTAGAAGACTGTTAACATTAAGTGAATATATTTTAATTAATTTTGTTGTGTTGAGTTATCTAAAGATAGAATATTATTGTTTGTATATGTTATAATAATAGGTAATTCTGAGGTAGAAGAATTAGTAGTTAAGAGAAGGTTTTGGCATTTCAGAAGTAATGGTATTTTAAATTTTGTTAGAGAGAAGTTTGTTTTAAGTAAAATATTTTGATAGCTTGAAAGATTTTCAAAAGGGGTATATATGAAGTTGGGTAGGAAGTTAGTTTCTTGTGAAAGATAGATATGAGCTTCTTGTGTATTATTGCTAGATTTCTTTATATAAATTTTTATATATTGTTCTAAAAAGTATTCTGAATGTTTATTTTGAATAAATTTTAGAAAAGAACCTATTGATTGTGGTGAAGGTAGAAGTTATAAGTTATAGAATGCAAAAAATTTGTTAAAGCAAATTGAAGAGTTATATAATTGGAATAGGTCAGAGATTTTGATATAAGATTTTTCTTTGATAGTATTTGTTGTTGGTGAGTCAATAGTATTATTAGGATCATCTGTTGATGATTTATTATCTTCATTTATAATGTTTAGATTTGTTGGTATGTTGATAAAGATATTTGGTATATAAGAGTTTTTTGGAGTAATTAGGTATGAGTTTGTTGAAAAGAGATTCTCAAAAGGATGTGATAAATTGTTATCTGAGAAATTGGATTTTCCTTCTGTAGATGCACTCACTATAAACTCAGTTTTCACAGCTGTAGAAGATATTATATTCTGCCCTGTATGTTGGGTCTGACCATCATTAGTTTGGTCCTTTGTATAAATAGGCTTTCCTGCCCACCTACTTACATTATTTTCTTCCAAAAATGGCATATTTTTAATAAAGGACATTGTTATTTTGGAAATGGCAGCTGTATAAATATTATTTATAGAAGGAATTATTGAAAAAGTGAACTATATGTAGTAGTTAATGATAGGAATAGGATGTTATCATGTATAGAAGAAATTTTAATATCATAATGTTTAATAATGAATTTTTCTGTTTCTAGAAAGTATTTTTGATTGTAGTCTTGTTGGATTTATGTAATAAAGAATTTGGTTTGATTTTGGATATGAAAAAAGAGAATTATATATGCTAGGATGTGTGGACTAATAGAAGGTGCAATAAATTTTTCCAAAGCTTGATCAAGTTTGAGGTCTGCAATACTGTTATTTGTGGCAGCAGTATTTAGATAAGCTTTAAGGTATAAGTAGAGATAGAATGCAGTTTGTTTTGGGTTAGTTTCTGTATTTTTAATTTCAGCAAACTTTTAGTCTGCTTTAAATTCAAGTTCATTAAGTATATTAAATGGAATAATTTTTTTGAAAGTTGCAGTATATTGTTGGTTTGGTTAAAAAATTGAGTAATCAAAAATGAATGATATAGTTTTAGGTATTAAGTTATCTTTTGGGGGTGCTAGAAATGTTTCAAAAGACTTATCAAAGAAGTAAATAGATATATTTTTAAAAATGTGTCTGTGTTATTGGGTAAAAGCTTGTAATCTTGATTTTTATATGTATAAATATGAAAAGATGCAGTATTGGTAATTAGAAAGGACCACTCTTGAAGAAAAGTAGGTTCTATAATTTAAAACTCTAAAGGTTAAAGTTTTTTGCATTCCTTAGAAAGTATGATTGCAATTTGGTATTTTATATAGTTTCTAACTTTATCTTTATTAATTTCAGTGAACTGTTTTTGGTAGGCTTTAAAGAAATCTGCATATCATGTATTGAAGTTTTGAGTATATAGCTTAAGTAATAGAATTCGAAAGGTGTTAGTAAATTTGGTTTTGAGAATATTAAGAATAACAATAATAATAAAGCGATTATTGTTGTAGATACTAAATAAGAGTTTTGGAGCATTATATTCAAGGTTGTATTTTATTAATAATCTAAGAGAATAGAGCTCTAGTTTCTTAATGAATTTTTGATAGTGAATTGTTTGATATTTGTTATGAAGGAATAAGTATAGTCGAATAAAATTAATTGCTATTTTGTAACAATCAGAAATTGGATAAAATAGAATTGAGTAATGAGAATAAAAGATATGCAAGTAGTTAAGTTTAATAAAAAGGAGTTCAGTAAATTTAGTAAGTAGATTTTTAAGTGTTGAGGTATAAGCATATTGTGTAATATTGAGTTAAGGTGAGAGTAATAGGTTAGATTGACGAAGAAATTCTGTAAGAAATTCTGTAAGAAATTCTAGTTTTTCAGTAGTTATTGTTTTAAGTAGATAATTAAAGTTTTGTTTTTGGTGAGGTTTTTGGTTTATAGTTGGTTGAGTACTATTTGGAGTAAAAGGAATTGGTTGGCCAGAAGTAAATTTGTGAAAATGAATTTTTGAAAAGTTGAAAAGTTGTTGAGCAAGCGATGTATTAAGTTTTGTATTTGGTTTCATGTTTTCAGTAATTAGGTAGTTAAGAAACCAGTTCAGGTCATTAGAAGTATCTTTGGGTTGGTTAGTTGTATTTTTTTGTTGTTGGTTTTGTTTTTTTGTTTAGAATTTTGTTTCTTTTATTTTTCTCTGAGAGTGAGTTTTTAAAGAAAATTGACTTTTTCTTCTTTGATGAGTTTGTAGAAATAGAAAAAATAAAAAATAGAATGTTGTTCTTTGGTAAGTTCTTGGTTTGAGAAAGAGGTTTGAGTTTGGTATATTGAAGACTGTAAACACAGTCTTGGTGGAATAGAAAGCCTTTGAAAATTACAGCTGTAGAGTAGTCTAGTACATGATATATTTCTTGATAAGAACACATAGAATATTTTTCTTTTTGCATAGAGTGCATATATGATAATATTGAGAATGTGGAACAATTGTTACAGGTGATGGGTCTGTATGAAAGGAGGATGATAAAATTTGAAAAGTGGATAGAAAACTTTATTGTTATTATTTAGTAATAGGTGAGTTATATAGTTTGTCAATAATATTGTTAAAGTGATTTTTAAAAATCACTGTAGTTGGAGAAATATTCATTGCACTTGAGCTAAAAGATTGATGAGAAGGTGTAGTATGTATAATTTTGTAGTGTTTGGAGGTAAAGTTGGTATGGTATTTGTTACAGAGCAAGTAGATAGCATAGATTGGATTGGCATTTTGAAATAGTATTATTGCTTATTTAGTTCGTATTTTGTAGGATTAATATCTTTAAGTAAGATGCATAAAGTAAGTGAATCAGTTTATTTGATACCAATGCCAAAGCAGTCAGAATATTTATTATAATAATAGTCTAAATCATGAGAATCAGGTTCATCAGTGATTAAGGTAGACATTTTGGTTTGATGTTATTATGATATTATTAAAGAAAATAATGACAGTTTCGAAAGAAAGTAATTTTTAGTTCATGTAATATTGCACTCTTTGTATTACTTTTTGTGGCTGGTGTGGCTGTGACTGGTATGGCTGGTGGCTAATGTAGCTTGTGATACAATGTGGGGCTTGTATAACTTCTGCTAAAAATAGAATAAAGTATACACAAGATTGTGTAATTTTAGAATAAGTACAAATTTGTAATTATTTGCTTTTGTGTTAATTAATTAAGAACTAAAAATGAAATAGTTATAAAATGATAATTAGTTAAGTAAACCACTAAAAAATGGTGGTTTAAAATGTGTTTGAGATCTGGATTTGAAGGAAATAAAGAGAAAAGAACAAATTATTGAAAAATTTTAAAAGAATTAGCTATTTGGAGTTTTTTGCTCATAAAATACCTAATTTTGGGCCATTTTGATAAAACTTATATCAAAATGAAGCTAGAGGTAAGCTGAATAACTTTGTCTTAGAGCACAAGACAAGTTTCCTAGGCTGAATTTGAGTATAAATGATTTTAAAGTGTTTTGACAAATAGTTATTTAATTTATTTAATATTTAAGCTAGTGATATAAAATTTTGTATGTATATATAAAATATAATAAAGAACAGTTTTATTTGGTTTAAAAGATATATTTAATTATAAATTGTTAAAGAAAATTAAATTTTCTTTAGCAGAATTTTGGTACAAGTGATCATTAGAAAGAGTTGGTAATTTGTATTCTAATTTTTTCAAGTATCTATTTTTTAAATTTCTGCTTTATAGAGACTATCTACTAGTTCTTTTGTAATTTATATATAATCATTTCTTAATTCTGATCTATGTTCAGACTATGAGAATTCTTTTGCATTTGGATTAATTATTCTATATATATTAATAAACTCTTGTTTTTCTAGTCAGCTAAGCAGTAAATAAGATTTTGCTTATTTTTTTTTTAGTTTTATAGTTTATCTAAGTTTAATTTACTATTGTATTAAAGTTTTTATAACTATTATTTGTGTTCTTGGTGATCTTTTAATGTATCTGTTAATTATTACCTTCTGAATTATTTTTCTTTTCTCTTTATTATTTGAAGATAAGTAGGCTATTATGATTATAATTTTAACCTGCTTGAAAAAAAAGCTAGCAGAAATTATATATTTATTTGTTCTTTCTATGTAGTCTAAATGTCTTTACTATTTTTGAATAATTAATAATCCTACTCCTGAATCTTTCTTCTTATTGAAGTTTCACTTGACTAAATGCTTTTGTAGTTTTCTAAATTCTTTATTAAAAGAAACATTCTTTAACTAAAATGTTTGTTTCTGCTAGATCTATTATGTCTAGTTTATTGTCAATTATCTAATTATAAAGTGCTTCTAACTTTTGGCTATTTAATTTAAGCCCATTAATATTATATGTTACCAATTTTAACTTAATTTTTTCATTTTTATATATTCTTTCTATCTCTAATAGCTTCTTTTTATTATCTTTTGTTTTTTTATCCAAATATAGAACATTTCTTTGTGTTTATTTGGTTCTTTTTTCTTTATTTTGCAATAAGAAGCTTTGCTTTATATTTGTAATCATTGGTTTAATCTTATCAGTTTTTAGGAGTGATTCACAAGACTAGAACTTGCTAACTCAAATTTGCTCTATGTTGTACTTCGAGTTTGTCTAGTTTGCTAATAATTTCTAGTAGTAAGTCTTTAGTTAATAATTTTTTTCTTTTTTTAATAATTCTTTGTTTGCTTTTTCTTACTTGATTCTTGAATTCTTATTTATATTCTATTTCTTAATTATTCTCTTCTTTATTGATCCAAATCTTCTTCCTTAATAGTTTACTTTTTCTTCTTAATACTTTTCTTGCTCTGTAAGCTTTCCAAAAGATTGAGTAATTATAGCATTAAAATGGCTTTGATTGTGCAAATTCTAGGTCTTTTTGGTTTGCAAAAATAACAATTGCAAACTCTTTAGAGTTATTATTACTATTTATTTGCACAAATACTGATTTTGCTCTTTTACTTTAAGGCTTTTTTGCAAAAGAACTTTAGAAGCTTCTTTGAATACTTTCAAAAGTTTTGCTGTAAAATAACTATATTTATTTTTCTGCTTATAATTCTCTTCATCTTGTAACACTTATACTTACTTTGTTGTTGTCCAAAAAGAGTAACCAAGACATTTTTGTATAGTTTTTTTTGTTGTTTCAATTATTACTAGTGCTTTAAACTGAGATCTTTTAATTCTTACAACTTTCATATTTTTAATATTTTTATATATAATCTTAATTTCTTTATATTGATGTTTGTTAGTAAATTTCAGATAGTCAAATAGTTTAGATTTTCTATCTTTTCTTTTTTCTTTAGATATGAATTGTTTTAGTCTGTTTGTTTTGCAAGATGAAGTTATATTTAGTCTTCTGTGAATTTAGTGTTGTTTGTTTGACTGTACTGTTTTTTAAATTTTTGGTTTGTCTTTCTCTATTTGTACTAATGCTAAAACTACTCATTTGTTTTTTTGCTTCTATAGAAACAAGTTTATACCAATCATTATTTTTTTTAATACTTTTTTACTTGTTGTTCTTTTGCTGTATTTACAATTAAAGTCTATTATAACTCAATTATTTCTATTTTGAAAACTTTCT